ATCTATTCCCCATTTACGACGGCATGGTAGTCTGGATTAATCTCGAACTTTTCCACGCGTCAATTTTCCGCTCGCTAGTTTATCCTAGTGACCTTATCAGGTGAGGAGCCCAAGTGCCCTTCGACGAGCTCGACCACTTGCCCGAGGTTCAACGAACCCTGCGAACGAGTCACTGCCGTGTCGCCAGGGTTAATTAATTGAGGTTACGACTTTCTCCGATCTGATTTACACCACATTGTGTCGTTCGCCATCGAGTTGATGAACTTTTTTTCCGTGCTGGTTTCTTCGAGTCTGAACTCGATATGATGAAATGATTTAAAATCAAATCAACCTCAACGTTTAATTTCAATGTAAAATTCATGGCAAAGCTTGGCTATCTTGAGAATAAATTCGTTTATAATCGAAAGAAGATATCCAAAAGAATACTTGCTGTATTATGTATGAGAGATGAAAAAAAGTGATGAGATATTTTGTAGCAAAGCTGACGGAGAGTAGGAATCGAAGATGTATTATAGAAACTTGATTAAAGTTTTAAACTTGTTTAAAGCTATATATTTTGATGCTGATATTAAATTCTCACCTCAGCGTACTAAGGTATCAAATAAAATATTACTAGGATTTATGTTACCGTTAATGTTTTATTTTGTTCTTATCACAACCGATATTCTTATTCTGTAAGCGAAAATAATGAGGATAAATATAGATAGTAGGTATTCATGTTAAAGATTAATGACGTTTTAGCATTATTGAAGTTTCAGCGAGGTTTTTAATAAAAATGTTAGAGATCTTGCAACACCGAGATCCGCCGAGCTCATTACTCAAATTTCGGAAATAATTAACGTCACGATAAGTACATAAATTATTTCCATCGATTACGTATTCACTATTTTGCGAGAATAGTTTTATTCACATGAAGTGATCACGAGAGATGCGGGAATCCAGTTATTAATTACGCATGTCTTCGCATTGGTTCAATGAACTCAGGCAGGGTTAATTTGGTGAATTCGACTTTCTTTGGCGAGACTTAACCCGAGAGACCTCGACTTGACATTGAAACAATGAACTACGAAAATGACAAAAAGAATGTAACATAGAAATAAGGCACACCGACGAGGAAATAGTTTCAGAATGTTTGTTATTTTTTATAAATTTCGGATAATAAAACTTAAAATCACACTAACGTGTAATTTAAGTTACACGAAATATGAAAATCAGAAAAACAAAGGTTTAACAACATTAAAAGTACTTTATAATTATTTAATTATTTTGAGAGGATGAAGATTACAATATGTGTATGAGATATGTTTATTCGTAAAGCCTACACTGAAAAAATAATTGTTGCATCAACAGCATTATTTTAATTGAAAATAAACTTGTTGATTTAATGAAACAAATAAAATTTTATCAAAACAAGAGCACACCGTTTGTTTAATTAATAATGTCTGAATTGAATTAACAGAATTATTTTCGATTAAAATAATGCTCTTCTTCTTTTTGAAATAATGCTATTAATATAGCATTTATTTTTTTCAATGTACATACGATAACTGCAATACGCTTACAGTATGATAATAAAATTTGATTCAAAATATTCTCGTATATGTTTTTTATTATTTCGGTATATATTCGCTTCGAATGAGTATGATCTAAATGGGGAGACGCTTTTGTAAGACGCTTTACCTAATGCACATTCGAAGTTAATCATCAATCCAGGGGACACGACAGTCGCGTCAAGTGTTCTCGTAATAAATGCGGCGGGTGTGCGTCACGTTTCGCGCGTGCGAAAGCGGAAAAGGCGCACGATAGCGCGAAAAAAGCCGGCGCGCCATGGCCAGGTCGATGAACCCGCATAGGATTAATTTGGCGTGCGTTCGTAACTTCCTTCAACGAGACTTAACCCCGCGCGACCCCGACTTGACACCCCGGGTGGAGCGAGAGCAGATATAAAAATGTCTGAAAATGAATGCGACCCGCTCGTCACGGCGGTTAAAAGGCGGTTAAACGTCGCCGCGGCGCGGCGTGTTTGGCGCGAAATCTAGAATTAACCAGGGCTCTCTGGGTACGGCGAGGTGGTGAAATTAATTCGCGCAATCATTCACGCGTGATTGAACGGTCACGCTTCGCAGCAACCCCCTTTAGATTCAGATGCAAGTAACATGTGACCGTTACGACGACGAGTTGCATGTGTATTATCGTATCGAAATCATCGTACATCCCCGATTTATGCGCGTTCCTACCAACGTAGATTAATCTTCGGTTCAACTTCTTTTAATTTCATTCTGCTTTTTTCTTTTAATTCTTTAAACTAGAAAAAGATGAAGAGTTAATTGAACCGAGATTAAAATTAAACTACATAGAAATCAAGGTAGAAATGGACATTACATCGCCTGAATTCACGATTATCGGTTTGATATTCTTGCTCGAACTCAGGGAATAATTATATTTTCTCTGTTATAGTGTCACGAACGTGTCGTGTTATATCTATTGTATGAATTGTTTGTTATTATGACGATAACTCGACGATGACCCCGATAGAATAATGCGATAAATATTATTCAAACCATATCACCCTTCTTGAAAGCTTTACTCTTTTTTTTCGCTCCATTTTTTTTATCCTCTTTTTTTGCTGCTTGTTCTTGCTTTCATCGTTTCCTTCTGTCTTCTTACAACAGAATGTTAAGCGTCGTCATGCTGTCACAAGCTGAAATGTCTGAAAAATGTGATAGAGGCGACGGAGCTCATTAGATGCCATTATTATTACAAAATTTTTTTGTATGAAGGATAGAAGTAAGGGCAAAATGTATATTAATACTAAATAATATTTTTTAAGGAATATTACGACATTTACAAGAAAATCTAAATTACTATGTTTGTATGTAAATCTATAGAAGCATAAAGAGTGTTCAAATAAAAGTATCGATCTTTTATCAGTAAAAAATTAATTTTAAGTTGTAGATGAAATTCAAAATGATAAGAGTGGTAATAATTTTGTAATTTATGATAAATGATATAAATGTATTTATTTTATTTAATATATTTAAATATATTAAATATAATAAATGTATTTATCATTTTCATTATTTTTTTACTGTACTTAAAGATTTGATATACTCGAATACATGATAAAGGGTGACTGTCCTTCTAAAGTAAAGATCTTAAGACAAAATTATTTGGGTAAATTTTTTATTTTTTAATTCGAAAAATGGAAAACTCTTCATATTTTTTCTTGTAAGTGATCAATGAAATCTTTCTTTAATATAACTGTGACATACATGGAGATGATATGACCAAAATTAGCTTCCTGAAAAGATATGCTGAATTTTAAATGAACAATGAACGTCTCTTTTCCTCTATCTCTCGTTCTTTCTCATCTCACCCCCTCCCCTTCTCTCCTCCCTGTTCTTTTCTCCCTCTGGATACCGACATGCAATGAGCGGGCAGGTTCAACGAACCCGGGATGACGTGACATCGCCACGCTGAGAATTTATTATCTGAAGCCCGTTGTTCAACGACCCTCGCTTTTTTCGCGTGCACCGCGGATTCGAGCGCGTTCTTGGCTTAGTTTCTTCCCGATTTCCCCGACGGACCGCGCCGTCACGGATGACGTATCCCCGTACTGCGATGAGTTTTTCACGGTAGACATTTGTCGTGCGTGACGCTTGTATCGTCGACCGAGTAAAGCTCTAGATATACCAAAGTAGCGCAAAGGTCCTCTATTTTTCACCTAATAATCATGGCTACGGTCCACTTGATGCTAAGTTTTTAATTGACGAATCGGAAGAAAGAATTTTTAATTAATCAAAAAATACTTCGGAGTTGAAAAAATACTACTAAGTTGAAAATGGCGGTCGAAATAGCCAATAGGGAAGTTGTCAGCTTAGATAAAAGGATTACGCTTTAGTGGATATTTAGGTATCTGCGTCTTTTTCTATTGTTCGGTGAACAACAGTGACGCATCATGCGCTTTATGCGCAATTCAGAACGTCCCCCAGAGCTTTATGATCGAGTAGGTGTGTGCTTTACACAAGTATCTTTAAGGTACCTTTTCATGCTGACGCTTGATTTTTAGCGTCAAAATAAGTGACATTTGATTCGTCAATTTTTATCACGTGATCTGTTTTGACGCTAAAAATGAACGTCGAGCGTCAACATGAAAAGGCATCTTTATCGTCTCGAGTTTGTTACCACTATCTTCGGAATATTGGGAATATGAACGATAAAAAATTGCAGGTACGATATAATAATATTTTAGTTACAAGGAACAGATGCAGAATAACGCAATTTCCGAACGCGAAAGCGTTCGTTGTTTCGTATATGTAGATAATACGAAATATTGAAGTGCTATTGCGTTTCAATACAATTTTTATAGCGCTTTGTGGAATATTTTCCCGTTTATGAATTCTCAATAAATTGCAGGTACATATATTCTTCAACATGAATATATACACTCATATGTATGTACATATACACACATGCATACGAAAAATTTCCACTTTTCACGTTTCCGCCGCAAGAAAAAAGTTCCATGATCGCTACCCAGTGATTTTTTTGTCCCCTACATATTTTAAAACATATTTTAAAATTTCCTAAAAGCTTCAACAGCTAAACAAATCCTCTAAATTTTCCCCCAACAGCATTGCATAAAATTTAAAAAAAAAACCGTGATAAATGCATTTTCCTAATGGAAAAAAATTTCACAAAATTAACAAAGATTCGCGGCATTCCAATTTCTAGCATTTTTTTTTGTAGATTTTTGTAGAATTTTTGTAAAACTTTACAAAAATCTACAAAAAAATCATAGCGTCGAAAATGAATGTGGTGTGTCTGTGCTAATAAGAGCTGCCAGGATTGGCACTTATTAGCTAGATCTTTATCTTTTCTAAAAAGTCCCCTAAAAATTCCCCTAAACTTTTTATCCCTCCGGTGGGGACAATTTCTCCAAATTTAGGGGAAAATTCAATTTGGCAGCACTGGTAGTATTATTTCTCTTCCGTCAAACAAAACGCACCATATTGAAGTTGAAAGAAAACTGTAATAAAATGTGGTTGTTAGAACAATACACTTTAAAAACATCTAACATGCAGTGCAAACATTGTAACAAAAACTTTACGTATCAAAAAACATATTTAAAAAAATTAAAAGAACATTTACTTAACAAGCATAGTATAGATAAATTTAATACGGAAGACAATGTGGAAGAAATCCAACAAAATACACGTGCAGAAAATATAAAAGATGGAGATGCATCAACATCAAATAATCAAGGACTACTTTTAATGAATGCATTACCAACAAATACAAGTAATCAAGACGAAAATACATCAAATATAACGGCAAATTCATGCACAGATCAGTAAGTACATATTCAAAATATCATCCACAGAAAAGAATTCTATATTCAATGCTATTACTTCTCGATCTATAAAAAAGAATTTAAAAAAAAAAGATCGATATAGAGTTAATCGTATTTATTTTTCTCTGAAATGAAAAATTCTAAAATCTAGAATGAAGTATTTTTCTTGATGCTATCTCATTAATTTTTTTAATAGAAAAATTTAAATTAGACACAATATTTTTCATTTAATATTAAACATCGATCTAAAGGAAATCTTTTATTCTATTCTTGCGGAAAACAGTTTGCAGAATGTTGTAATCTTACATTTTCCGACAACGAATGATGCTATCACGTATAACACTGGATAGATTTATTCTTAAATGTAAGAATACATAAATCTAAATTTATGTGTGTTATACTTATCTTAGGACAAAATGTTGATCTTATTTGATTTAAAGGAATAGAACAAAAATTATTAATTTAATCTTTAATATAGTTATAATTTTATACTGTATAGAGTTGATATAAAATTAAGTACATCAAGAATTTTTTTTCTCGGTATTAGAAATTGAGAGTGTGATTATAGTTCTAAAACAGACGTAAAACAGATGTAAAACAGATGTAAAACAGACGTAAAGTAATGAAATAACCAACAATGAAAGAAAATTTAGACACAAATTACAAATTTTTATTAAAGTATGTATAATCTGAAAATTTTTAATGTGCCTTTCTGATTACTGTTTATTTTTTAGTTACTATATAAATTAAAAAGAAAATAGACTTTTTATGCGTTTTGGCACAAATGAAACAAAAACATGTATTTATGAGCCAATATTCAATATACATACATACACACACGAACATATATTTCATATAACACACAGAAAGAACTTGTCCGAATCTTCACCGAAGTTGTCGCATAAATTTCCTATTGTTTAGCATATAATGGGGACGTTTACAATAGAATAACAGTTGTCTTATTATGTAACAGTTATTCTGATGAAAAACGATATTATTCAAATTGGAAATATTTACGAAAAGATTCATAATATTAGTCCTGAATTAGATCTTATTTGTGAGACGTTTCTATTTTTATATTCTTCTGTTTATAATCGTGTTCCAATTTCAATTGCCTTCTAATAATAGTAATATAGGTTCTTATAATTGTATAAGAGAAATACAAGTTTTTGAGAAAGCGATAAATAAAATGTCGCCCTAATATTGAAATATCAAAGATTCCAAACGTAAACCATAGTTAATAATACGTGAAGAATACGAGAAAATTTTCAAATAAATTGAGATGCGTTCTTGAAAGATATGAAAGAGGTCAGTCGGCAGGTGAAAAGAGAAAGATTTTCCAGCAACATTGCACGAGTCTCTCTGGCATTGCGAAACGCCATTTCTCAGCGTAACGCACGCGAGGCTTAATTGCCGTCGTGAAATAACTCCCATGAGACGTCATTGTTATTATAAAGCTTGCTTTTCGCGTTCGCGCCGAGTGCAAACGCCTGACTAGAATCTACATCATCTTATTTTAACGACTCCCTCCACAGATTCCACGACGTGGACCACCGAAATTCGCCTATCCGATGGTTCGCGCTAAAGTGAATTTTTATGGGATACTCGTGAATGTCTCGCGAACCATTAAATTCGAATTAATCTCACTAACGCCGTATCCCTCCGATAAAAGCGTCTGGACGTAATCAATGCCTTTTTCCTTTATATCAACGTCACGCGTTGATACGGCAATCTAGATCTGGAGAACGCAATTAGCACGTTTAACGCTGACGATAATTTCGCTCGCAGAATCTACGCTAATGGCTTATCGTAGCTACGCGAAAAGGTTTCAAATGAAATCAGCGTGCCAACGACGGATCCGCATGTAACTTGAAATTTTATAACGGTCACTTTGAAAATCATATTTTAAAGATTCTTATTTTAATTCTTATCTCTGAATTATATTATTAATTACAGTTTTGCATTAAAATGATATCTTTTTTGTTTTCAGTAATAAGTATGTTATTTTCAAAAAAGAATCTCCTTTCTAAATATTAGATATTTTCTTACGCGAATATAAGAATTTTTACGTTGAAAAATGTAGGACGGAAAGATCAAGAGACGCGTCTTTTCTGAAAGTGCGATATTTCAATGTTTACAGAGTGGAAAGCTCAGCGTTGCAGTTGGTGTGCCCGCTGGATTCTCGTCCGGTGCAGCTAATCTTCCGGGGATTGCAGGTAGTCAAGGAGAAACGAGTGCTTCTTCGAGATGTGTCAGGAGTCGTCAAGCCAGGCGAATTATTGGCCGTTATGGGCCCTTCAGGTATCACATTATTTTATATATTAGTTAATCTTTCTCACACACTTTAACTATCGCGTGAATTCGGCGTGATACCAACTTTAACGACGATTGTTCAAAGAATTATTTTTTTAATATGCATCACAAAAAGATCGGACATTCTAGCAAACAATTTGAACATTTTAATACCAACATAGTAATAATTAATCCAAGAAATTATTTTCAGATCTGTATCTTAAATTTTTAAATCAGTAAAATCATTCTTTTCGTAAATAATATATGCAAAACAATTAACAACGGTGAGAACATTCGTTAAATTCTGATGAGCATGAAGCGTTTCCGAAAATAGCCGCGTAAAGTTACGTCGTGCATCGGTTGAAACGTTAATGACAAAAAACATACAGCTTCGTGTTTATTCTGTACCATTACATTTCTGTAATGATCCTACTTTTTCGTCTCGTCCCATCCCTCCAATGATCCAACGTAATTTAAACGGCTTCTCGAATACTCTTTCACGTTTCACATTATTTCTTGCGTATCTTAATCGCACGGTGTTGCACGGACGTCGCACGGAATTAAGTCTGCGTTTCTATCTTTAACCGCTTTTATGCGCGCGGCGGCGAAATATACACCAGCCCGGCAATTTCGTTCGGCTGGAATATTTATCGCTGAGACGAGAAAGTCCGTTTCGACGCACCGTGCGCCACATACAAAATCCAGCAGAATCACCAAGCTTAATTATTTCGATGTTAAATTCTGCCGTTCCTAATACAGAAGGACAAAATTGAATCTTTATGGCACGATTAAAGATGGACTCGATGATACTCGCGAGTTTCAGTGGCATTTTAACAAGAAAAATTTTTTGAATGCAAACGCGCGCATTTATAATACGTATTATAGGAATTACATTAACTCTTCATTTAAGATCGTGCAACGAATAATATACCGCTTATTTTTAACAATTGTGTAATTTATCTCACTTCGAGCAGTTTCTAAAGTATTTTTATATTAAAATCTATTCATCGAAGCAGCGAGTTTGAATATTTCAAGATCGCGTCTGCGAATTTATTGATTTTACAAATAGAAGAAATGAGAATTTAACATTTTAAGCAACTTGAAGAATTCAAAGAACTAAAAACTTCTAAGATTTTATATTATAGCTAGGAGTTTTTAACGAGTTTTGCTTGATTTATAGATAAAATCACCCTTTCTTGTTAGTACCTTGTTAATAGATAAGCACAAAATCGTAGATTTTCAAATAGCAAAGTGGCATTAGTGGCGGTTATTATCCATCGATAATTTATACGGCTTTACATAAGGATTTTCACGCGCGTAAGAGACACCTAACACACAATGTGTGAAAGATATATTCACTGAAATATATAACGAGTTTACATGACAACATACGGAGGCGCTAAATTTTTGTCTGGCATATTTGTTACGCAGGCTGTGGTAAAACAACACTGCTGAATTGTTTGTCCGGCCGTGTTGGCGTGGACGGCGGTGAGATCTGGCTGAATCGCGAGAGGCTCACCAAACGATGGCGCAGAAGAATCTGCTACGTACAACAGCAGGATATTTTTTTCCCCGATCTCACCTTACGTCAAACACTTGAGGTAAGTTCAGACAGATTATGACGTAGTAGCAAGGAACTATAATCTAATGTCGGTATTCATAGTCGATTTTTATTTTAAGACTGTCTCGAGTAATGTCTCAAGTTGTTAATATGACCCTCTTGGTTCATGACATCTTAAGACTGTACGGTCTTAAATTAGCCTAATTGTGAACTTGCGATACACAGTCATTTTGACGTTTCGTCTTTTAGATTGATATATTTAATGATTTATAATTATGTAGAGAGTTAAAGATAAGTTTCAGAGTATATTTTGTACTGATTTGAAATAAATTGAAAAGTCAAATTTTTGTAAAAGAAACTCGCGAGAGTGAGATTTCGTGTCACTTTTAAATTCAAATGATATATTATGCTATGTATTATATATATATATATCATGTTCATGAAATATTTTAATACTACACATTTATTTATTATTTTTACTTTAAAGGATTTGACAAGTGATAGCAATGAATACTGAATATACTATATATATTTATCTTGCGCTTAACAGAATATTTAACTGTATACGCTGGATTATTCAGAGTCTAGATCGCCACTGTGCGCCCCGCTAACTTTTGTATACATATAAATAAACGATGAAACCAAATAGTCAATGGTACGTCGATGCACGGCTGATCGTGATGTTGGGATAAAAATAATTTATTTGTATGCAAAATTTAGAGGAGGTGCGTGTGTGTCTCGAGGACTTATATAAGCAATGAAATAAACAGTGAAAAAACGAGCGCAACGATAGAAATGTGACAGCGCTGTGGATGCATTTCTGTACCAGTACCCAGAAATAAGAGAACAAAACGCAGAAACGAGCGTAGCGTTTCCTCGTTTTCCACGAAAATCCGGCATCGGGCGTGCCAGGGCAACCGCGTGCCTTTCACTCGATATTCATCACAGCCCACGCGCCAAGTAAGCGGGAATTAGGAGAACACCCTGTACCGCAAAGATCGCGGGGAATGCAAATTCGGGCTAGGAGCCAACGCGCCCCGTTGCACTTGGAGGATTTAAGAGGTCTGGGCGGAAAACGGATGCGGACAGACGCAAGCTTTGTCGCTTTATAGCCACTCTGATCGAATAAACATGCCGGTACGCACCTGTGCGTCGCGAGTCATTGCGAATCTGGAGACAGAGAGTCTCGTAATAAGGTGAACCGAAAAACTTATGGGTATGGTCAGTGTATAATACAAATACTTCGAAGCATTCTTCGATTGGTTAATTTAGAAAATTCTTTCTTCTGAATTGCTCAATACTTCAAAGCATTCGTAGTATGTCCCGCAGCTTATATTTAATCTCGGAAACATGTAATATCTACTTTCTTTTCTACGTTTAATATTTTTTTTTTTCGTTTTATATCTTGCGCGATATTAAGAGTGTTCTAATTTTTCGTGCACATGTACTAATTGAAAAAAAATGTCCTTAATCCTTAACAGCAATGAAGATTGTGAAAAATCATGATAATTAAATAATGTCAATAATTTTTTAATAATTCTTCGAGATAATCGAAAAAGTTGTGATAATGTGCAAGGAAGAATCTCGTCTTTTGAGACAATTATGGTTATAAAATGTTAAACTATAAAAATAATTAACGTCTTAAAATAAAATGTAGAGAGAAAAATAGATACATATTGATTCTATATTCCCGGATAAAGTATTCGTCTAAGAATACATTGTTTCGTAAGTTCAAAATGTAATGATATAACGAATGAATATATTTATATATTGAAGAACGTTTAACAATGAGAGATTACATACAGTTTAAATTCAAATACCCAAGTTTTGTTTGTCTGTCGTCATCGCGCATTGAAAGCGAGTGTAAATAATTTAAATTCGATCAATGGTCGAATTCAAAACAATCCTGCTCTACGTCTTGTCGAGGCAAAACTTTCAATAAAACATCTGAATAGAGATAGATACAGATATCGCTATATTTATTGAGAGAATCTATATTTATTGAGAATAATTTAGTGAGATTCTTCCAAACATTAAAAAATTGCAAAAATTGTAAAATTGTTTACGACATGATTTTATTAGAAACCAAGCAAAAACATGTGATTGAATAATAAAAAAAACAGAGAGAGAGAGAGAGAGAGAGAGAGAGAGAGAGAAAGAGGAAAAGCAAATCGGAATCAGAGTTAAATCTAAATTATATTCCGCTAACAAATTCCTCTTTTTCTCTCTTTCTCTTACCTCCAAAGTATAAATATTGTTATAAAAAATATACAATGCAGTACGAATTAAAAACATAAAATGTAAAAAAAAAACGAAAATGAAATAGAAGTATCACGTGCACGACGCCCACTCGCGCGCGCGTGTCACACGCATAGCGATACAGAACGCTCTCGCAACGAACCGTCGTTCGTCTAGCCGCGACCGTTAGCGTGGAACAGCGGTTCGCGGAGTCGAGGGGGAGGAGGGGAGGTCGTATCTCTCGCGGTGACGTCATAACTCGGTCAGTGAACCGCCGAGAGCTCCGCGGCGCGCGTCTTACGGTTTCGAAAACATTTGGCGCCGCCTCTACACGCGCGCATACCGCGCTGTTTAGAGAGAGGTAAAACCGCAGTGTAGTTCCTTTCAGCGGGATGACACTTTCTCTCTCCTGGAGGCCTCTTCTTCTGCCTTCTTTTCTAGCCGCTTCCTCTCCCTTTCCGATCGCGACGATCTCGCTACTGTTGTCTATCGAACAGTTGTGTTTTACGTCTATCTAACGGCGTCTATCTAACGAACCCAAAGTTTGAGGCTGGTTTCTCTTTGGGGACCATTGTGTGATTTTGCAAGATAATGAGTCTTTTAACGTCTCGCTTATTTATGACCTTTTCTCTCGAGCGAGTTAATTGTTTGATACACATAAATGAAAGCAGTGAAAAATATTGCGCGAAAATCATCGTACTATCAGTATTTGTGTGTAAATGTATTTAGAAGATTTGTGAAGTAATATCATTGTTCATACGTTTTTAATCATGCTTGTAATTAGTATCATAAAATTAATGTTCAGATATATAAAGATGTGTTTCATGGATATTTAGCTTTTTCGTTAACTTTCGAAACTTTTCATTAAGAAACAATTGTTGCTATTGATATGACATAGATTTTTTCTTACGTATCTTATCCGCATATATTTTTTCACAATTCTTGAAATTATGACAAAATTGCAAAATGACTTTATCTTAATCATGTTAACAACACATGATGTAATTTTAATATTAATAAACGAAAAGAAAAGAAAAAAAAAGAAGATTGCCCGAAGTTAAGCGAGAAATGAGAAGATCGCGCTGTTTGTCCGCATTCTTAAAAACTCGGCCTCGTCAAAAGGCCCTTTCGTTTCGAAGACAGGAATGTAAACTGTTGGAGAACAGAAGAAGAGGTTCACTTTTCCGCGGTCCGGTTTCACAGCCGGGTATCGTCGTTATCTTTATTTAGACATAACTGTGTTCCCGGCGAGTACAATATCATCGGCCGCACTTTCTCTCTCCGCATAACGGGCCCCCTCTTGTGTAACGGCACGAGGAGAATGAACGTTGAGAAACGGCACGTCGTCGTCTCGGCCGGTCCGTATATCCGTACGCGTAGCCGCTGTTGATTGTGATATAAAGGGCGATCCATAACATCATCGCACATCAAGCCGTGCGGCGACACATTCTTGGACGCGTACGAAATTGACGTGTTTGCATCGCGGAAAATTCCACCGGACAGCTCTTTACCCCAAATGTTTTAGCATTCCCAAGCAGCTTTAATTATATTCCTACAACTATAACATGTTGATTTAAATCAATATTTTTTTTATATTGAAGGAATATTTTATGAAGGTAAATAAAACATTTTTTATCCGTTTTATTCCGTTGTCAAAATATAATCAGTGGAAATTGTTAGATTTTCGAACATTTATAATAAAAGCAATATACACGGAACATAAATTGAATATATATCTATTTGCGTATATAACGGTATAGTGTAGTCATTGTTTAACCACACATTGTGGATACTAGATTATGCCAATTTTTTCCACCGATGAGGATAAAATATAATTAATCGCCGTAAAAAGACCTGAATCGAATTAACCTAATTTCAAAAAGATAAGATCACTTTGAAGATGAATTATTGATTTATTCCAAGATTTATTGCGAGATTATTATGCCAATTGACGAAAAAAAATTCGAATTTGTCGCAGCAGACGTCATTAATCCTTTTTTGGATTAAATATTTTAAAATCGAATTTAAATTCATTTATGTCTCAATTAAAAAATATGTATATGTTGAATTAGATTGTAAATTAATATTGTTTGTAATGTTTATTTTTTATTTTCGTATGTTTATTCTTTGGCACCTGTCGAACATTTAAAGATGTCAAATAAGACAGCATTTACGAGACGCCCATGCTAATACTCTCGAATTAACTAATTCTCGGACATCCTTTCGAGGTAAAAACAGCCCGTGATTTCGCAATCGACGCGTCATCGTAATTGACTTAACGGCTTATGACGGGCGCGTCCCCGGCACGGCCGCGGCGCGTTAGAACCGACCGGAGTATAATAATAGTACAAAGTGGCCTGGATATATTACGAAACGGAAATGCATCCACCAGCCGCGATGCACTGCCGCTGAGGCGCGGCATGGTTTTGTTTACGTTGCTGTTTTAATGCGCGCGTTTACGCGGCTCGTCAGACGGACGGCGCTAAAACCGATCGCCGCTTACACGCGCTCGCGCGACCACGTCATCAGCACGTTTGTAACAGTTTGTATCGCATCGTAATTTTGCAGTACCAGGCGAGGCTGAGGCTTCCGGACGCACTCTCACACTCCCAGAAGATGCAGTGCGTGGACCACATCATCGAGGTCCTCGACCTCGCGAACTGCCAAGACACCAGTGAGTACGACACGGCGCGCGCCGTGAAACCGTAAAGATCGATGTCAAGCCGCGACGTTTTTAGACTCGCGGAATCACGCGATTTGGAATCACCAGTCGGGGATTCCACTGATATCGTAATTCGCTTGATTTCTCTGAGTCGAAGTCGTAAAGTACGTTTGCGCGTCAACGATTATATACGTCAACGATGTTAACAACGGCGGCTCGAGATTCCTGTGCAGCGTTATAAGAAGCGTTATTACTTTATACGATCTAATAACACGCTCGATCGAGATACATTCGTGTCGTTCTGTGGATAGTGGATACCGTTAAATTTAGTTTAACGCGATTTTTGGGAACTTGCATTTATTAACATTTTAACTGCATGATATACTCATCATATCTGGGTAACGCGCGAATTTCCAAGGTCCCGTTACTCATTTATAGATAACGGTTTCATTTACCCGGTTAGAAATATTAGGTGTTGGAATTAATTCGTAGCGTTTTACAAGTGATGGGAAGTACTTTCATTAATGTATTTTTTAATGCTCATGTGAAATAAATAACATTCTTTCATTAAAAAACGCTACGAATTAATTCCAACACCTAATAATTTTATTAAATATTTTAACAATATTTAAAAATATCATAAAATATTATTAAAATGATACACTAGATTCACTAAAAATAGAATTATTTATTTTTACTTTTATATCTATTTATTCAAAATATAAGCAGATTTATTCAAATACATGTTAGTAGTAAAAGAAATATTTTATTTCGATTTGCAACAATTTTATTTGTTCCATCTAAAATTATATTATTAAATATTTATAATAATATATTTTGAAAGACATATATTATTATTGATATATTATAATAATATAATAAATAATATATAGTATATATTTTTTCTAGTTTTTGAATTATATTTTGTATAGTTTTCTAATCTACCTATACACATATTTTATAAATAGTCACTCATTTGGGCTTCTTAGAGCGGATATCGAAATCAACTTGACAAAGTGTTAAAAGAGAACATATATGTATATACATGCGATAAATTACCACTTCGTTGTTTTGTAAGTCAAACGTAAATATTTTAAAGTAATCTAAAATCGAAGATGAAGACTGAATTGTTTAGATCACTTTCGTCGCTTATACGCGCTATAAAATTCGACATATGGTTTTCACATTACAAATATACAATAAATATAATTAACCCCCCGAATTGTCGATGTTTAGCACTGATTATAACGTAAATCGAGGCAGAGGTGAATCGTGTAATTTGCAACCGACTCTTACTGTTATCGTCACCGTGACTATCCGTCTTGGTTTAGCATTTTGATTGACAATTTCCGTGATCACAAATATCGAACCGTCGTCCAAGCGTCAAGCAGCTATGGGCGCGTTATCGAAATATGCATGTAGGAAAAACGAGCCAAGTAATATACAAGCTGACCTACATGCATGTCTCGCGCTTCATGTATGTCGTGAGATTCTCAGAATGACGTAGATCCGTCGTTAACGAGAAAATTGGACGAGACATCATTTCTCAAAATAATATACAACCTTCGTTAACGAGCAAATTGGATTGGACGTCGCTTCTTAATGTTCAGAAGTTAGACAGCTATTGGCAATTGAGCGTTAAATCCGCAAGAAGCAAGAAATCCATTTAATCTTAATCAGATCTCGAAGAATAAGACTTTATCTTATCCGTTGATGACTCCAATTTGTATTTTACAGACATTCTTTTTTATATTCAATTATATTCATTGAGATAACTGCTTTTGTCGAAATAAAGCCTGCCGACTGCAGCTTAATTGATCTTAGAATTTTATTCGAATGAAGTAGACTTTGCGAATTTGCTATCATCCCGCGTCGTCTCACTCATTGTCGGAGCCACGTATAGGAACGTATAGAAACGTCGAATGTAGCGGAAGTGGTGTAGCGCGGTGACATTTTCCGGAATACCAACGAGGGAAAGTACGCGTATCTCTGCTGCAACAGAGCGCCGGGCTCATTGTCGGTTGGTTGATAAACGGTTTCCTCGATCGTTAACCCCCGGGCTTCTCGACCGCCTCGGTCGCGTATGTGACGTAAAATATTATTCCCCGCATACAATTATGCATTCGTTTCTCTTCCTGTGCCCCGAAGGCGTGAGCGACCGATGGCGACGGCGGCGGCGGCGACGGCAACGGCGACGACGACGAAGTTTAATAATTTATCACGCGTCAGAGATCACTCGCCCCGTGTCTCGTTTATAGTTCCAGCTGACGTTAGCAAATCCGAATATTGGCACCGGGAATGTTGGACGCCAACGCCGCCGAGGGAAAGGGAAAGATCCGATGGGAAAACTATTTATCTTTATTGTTCAGCGGTGATTTTTCATCGATATCTGCTCGTAATTCTGTTATTTGCGACCGCGCGGACGTAGGTTATGCTAATAAAACGCCTTTGACGCCTTTATTGTCTCATACGCGTCGTATCTTCTGAACCTTTTTAAATACCCTTTTTTTCCTCCGCCTCGGTAAAATGCGTGACATGGTAATTATGATCGCCTACATTTTCAATATCTTTCGTATGACGGATCTTCGCGTATCTCGTTGCTCAGTCGAGTACTATTTTCGTGTATTATTCACTTAGTTGTTGGTAGCGCAATATCGCGTATAGAAATTAGAAAACAGTGCGCGTTAATTCCACGCGAAAATACTTAACATTCGCAATTATATTACGCTCGCACATTTTAATATATTTTTTTGTAATGAATATCACAATCGTGTGTGTTAAATGATATAAATTAACAATATAAAATGATTCTTTCAACTTCCTAAATGATATTTTCCAAAGATTTCTATATTTACGAAATGATATTTGTAATTTAATATATTAGACATTATTTCTTTAATTTTTAAAATAATATATTTCTTGTGTAGTTATTGGAGATTATTTGAAACGGGGAATTTCCGGTGGTGAAAAGAAGAGAACGAGTATAGCTTGCGAATTACTCACGAATCCATCATTAATGCTACTTGACGTAAGTTTTTCCTACATTTTTTCTTTGTAAGCTACATATATTTAAGTTTTATTATATTTATGCATGATTGATTTAATAATTGTTATATTATATCATAGCTTTTTTTTACGAAACATATATCTACATTCACGGATTCTTTCTGTAATATAATTATTTTTAAATGTTAATCAATTGGAAGAAATTATTGTATAAAGTTGAAATAACTTGGAAACTTATGCAGAAACTTACGAAATTCATCTAACTATAAAACGAATAATGTAGGATTGAAAATTTTTCAGTTCTTTCCTATAAGTTTTTTCCTGCTCGGACGTAGAATTTTACATTAAGGAATTGTAAAAAAGAAAATTCTTCAAATAGAATATATTTGAAATTACGGATCTGTATATTATATACAATTTATAAATTGAAAAATGAATGAATAAGTGATAGAATAAATAATATGATTTAATTTTCTACGTGAATTTTTTGTTTAAAAAAAGTTTTTTGATGTTTATTTCTACCAGTGTAGATTAACTTTAATTTCAGTTTAATTTACTCTTTATTTTTTTCTAATTCTTAAAACTAGAAAAGATAGTTCTAATTCATAGAACTAGAAAAGTAAGTTAAACCAAGATTAAAGTTAATCGACATTGATAGAAACGAACATTGATTTAACATTATAATTGCATCGCTAATTTATAAAATCTTTCATCTTTCAGGAACCCACGAGTGGACTCGACTCACATTCGGCACAAGCATTGATCTCGCGGTTGAAGAAATATGCTGAGCAGGAAGGTAAAAGTATTGTGGTGACGGTACACCAACCTAGTTCCAGGATGTTCCACAGTTTTAGTAAGCTTCTCCTGTTGAGTAACGGTCAGGTGGCGTATTACGGATCGACGACGAATGTCGGTAGATTCTTCTCTACAATAGGACTTACTCTATTGCCACATTACAACCCCGCAGACTTCATTCGTAAGCACACTTTATTATATTAACTAATTAATCTGTGAATAAACTTATATACTTAACAAATATGATCTTTATTTTTCTCTAAACTGTTTCAAATTCATAAAATTTGTGATCTTTGAAAAAAATCAGTTTCTGTTTATAATTTTTTAAATATATTTTTCTAATTTATATTTTACGACATAATCTTTTTTCTTATATAATATAATTATATAGTTCTATGTATACATATATATATGTCATAAAAATATTACTCATTTTGCAAAAAATTAAAAGAAACATCTACAAAAATAAAATTATAATAATACGTACACATTCTATATTTTATATTTAATGTTAATTTCATATAGCACAAATAGTGTCTTTTTAATGCAACAAATATGCATGATATGGAAATAAAAGAATATTTTCCTAAAATATTTGCATTACGAAAACAAATAATTTGTAAATATGAATATATACACCTACTATCACAAATTTGTGTTTTTTTTTTTTTTAAATAACTGCTGGTGAAATGTCGTGGGAAACGGTTGTTCACGTGAATTGGTCAGAGTCGATTGAGAAGAGAGCTCGGTGTTGTATGAAACGCTTCTGTTTCAGTGGAACAAATAAAGGGGCCAGAGGAAGTTCGAGATCGCATCGTTGCCGCAGCGAGAACTGCAAGACAGGGACCTGACTGCCCACCGGAACTTCGCCCGGAGTATAATCCCAGCCAACATCCGCTCTGTGACCATCTCATTCATTATCACGAGCACCACATCAGCCACAACGGTATTATATAGTATGCAGTTCGCCCTGCGATATATGTATTTAAATGTATACACACCTAGACTTTCCCCTGGACCGCAGACAGACCGTTATAGCTCCGATGTGCCCCTTTAAAGCGCACACTTGCTCAAAGATCAAGTATCTTGCGTCCGCCCTACGGCAAACTCTAAAAGGGCCGCTTTATGAACTGTTAAAATAGATAACTTGATTGAATCTATTTACTGAATGTTTAGTCTTTAACTCGTGAAGCGCTCTCTATGACGCGTACTAATCCCCAAGAGTTATTTATCTTTCCGCTTTTGATGGTGTAATTACATATCCATGCAGTGAACAGTATATCCATGGACTGTTCGAAATAAGTAATTCAGAATCATCTCGATTCAATTTTCGATAACAAATAACAAACTGAGTCAAATAAAAAATATTTAAAAATCGCTATTTTTTAAACGAATAATATTAAAAGATTTGATCAATCTAAATCGGAATAAGAGAAACAAAGTATTCTTTTTCTCTACATTTATAATAATATTAAATATTTAAAAAAGTCAAAAATAAATTTGCCAAAAGTAAATGTAATAGCTGCGAAACGCTCTAAAAGACTAAATATATAATTTTTCTATTTCCCATCATAAAACATTTGTAAGTGAGAATCAGTTTTATGCATTCGTGCATTGTATTTATTTAATTATTGTACTTTTCTGTATTTTAAAATTTTTTAAATTTATAAAGTTTTTTAAATATATTCTCAACATTAATATAATTACATTAGAGACTGTTAAACGAAGAATTATTTCTATAAAGAAAAGAAAATTCAATATGATGGAAAAAAATTATAGATAATAAAATATTACGTGAAAATGTAAAAACAATAATTGAATAATATGAATTTGTTACATTAACATTTAATCATGATAAAAGAAACTGTAATGAATTATATATATACACATAGAATAGAGAGAGAGAGAGAGAGAGAGAGAGAGAGAATAAAAAAAACAAAGTCCTTTTTCTTTTAATTGTGTACCTCTGCCTATCTATATTTATCGACGATGCAATTCTCATAAAGCTCCTCTAAACACCCATTTCCCTGATGATTTACAGTGAAGGAAGACGAAGGCCGTACACTATGGTTGGATACACAAAGTCACGCCAGTAGCAGCGCAAGTTCTGCTGATGACGACTATTCCTGGCAATGGCCCACCAGTTTTTGGTCGCAGTTCAAAGTGAGTATGCCCTACGAATGTTTGCAACAATTACCGAATACAATGCCATTTTACTCGCTTAAGCATTCTTTATCTTCGCATTTGACGCACTATTTTGTGTTTGAGAATAAAAGGTGAAAAACAATAAATAAATTACTATTATTTTTAATGTATATTATAAATGTAGGTATATTATTATATATTATAATATCAACATAAATATTAAACAAATATTATACAACAGATATCAATGTAAAAACATAGTAATATAAACAAAGTTAAAAAGCTATCTTTTTCACAGAAAAACAATTTTTTCTTGTCTATTCATATCATATTCTATTCATATTTTGAAACTTGACTCATTGAAATTCTTTCATTTTGAATTATTTATGTAAATCATGAAAATGTGTGTAATTCTTGAAACAGTTTATTTTCATTTTGAATCTTAATATCTGAGAACTGGCATAGTAGGTCTTGGACGACCAACATAATTATTCATAATTTCCAAAGTGTATCCTTCGCGACGGATGAAAGTGTAGCCGCTATAGTCAAATCAATTCTTCGAGTCAGATTACATGACGCATCGCGAAAGAAAAAAGCGAATCGGCATGCTCCGCATTATTCATCGCGATGCCGATTAACGAATGCATCTAGACTAATGTGTACCGGTTTACCTATTCGTGGAGGACGCGTCATCGATCGTGTCGTAGGTGGATCGCGACATCATCGAGAATCTCACATACACAAGAGAGATAGGAAAAGGGGAGCGCGCGTGCATGAATGTTGCTGAGAAAGAAAAAGACCGATCGAGCATAAAGAGAAGAACTAGGACGCGTTTACACGATTCGCCATATCCGGATAATTACCACGCGACCGGTATGTCCGTTCGCAACCGCGCTTTACGTACGAATACGAACGCGTCACTTGCATCACTTTTACTTGGCAGAACCACGCGTTCTTCGCGGCCTACCAGTAGCTCTCCATCACCTCTTGTTATCGTGAGAAAGAAAAAGTCAAAGCGTTCAAGGTCCTTCAATATTCTATAAGCAATATTTATTAAACTGAGGAGACATGGAACATAAATTTTCGTTCTCTTTGTTCGTTTCGTTGACCTGGCAGACATCATAAAACAATAAGTATAATGCCGACCCGAAAATCAGCCTTTCATGCGATGTCCGAGACACTCTGTATGTATCACAGTTATTGTTTAAAAAGACCTTCGAAATCATTGTGAAACTTTGCGTTCTATTTTCTCACGGACGCTGGTATAATCGAGTCATTCTGGAGATATTAATCTCTGTGTGTGTGCGTGTGTAACATGTATTATTATAAAATTGATGTATCGTGAAATAATCCATATATTTTAATTTTATATATTACAATTTTATACGTTACGTAGACCAATACATAAACATTGTCCTGAGTTTTTACGAAAAACTTTTATGCACATAATCAGAATTACACAAATGAACTCTTTAATTCGTTATGTTAACAACTTGGTGCAAATTTACGACGAGATTCTACAAAACTCTGCGTTCATTTGTACAAACAGAACGTTCCCCTTTGATTTCAGGTATTATCGGAAAGAAATTTTCAAGAGGCACGACCACGAATGTTGTCGCGTCTTCACTGGCTGCAAACGGTAGCTCTCGGGCTTCTAACTGGACTTTTATGGCTGGGTCTTCCCAGAACTGAAGCAGCCATTCACGATATTCAGGGGTGGATGTTCTTCAGCAACACATACTGGATGCTTTTTGCACATTTTGGAGCGCTCACAAGCTGTGAGTTAAATCTCATTTACGCTTTTGTAACTGAAATTCCATCACAAAGAGGAAATATCTATTGTCGAGGCTAGATTGATTATCTTGACAATACCTGCATTAATTAGACATTTGGATAAAACAAAGTTATAAAATATCAAATTTGTGGCGAGCCAACAAAATAGTACACGGAAATGTAATTGTCTAAATTAATAATTAAAAATATTTATTTGCGAATTCAAAACTTGAAGCATTCGATCATAAAAGTTTTTTTTTCAGTTAATGAAATTTATTCCCTCAGAACTTTTTCATTAATTTCAACTTTATTTTAAAATACCAGGTGGAATTGATTGAATAATTGGGCTTTATCATATTTGATCAGCCGTTCAGTAAGGCTCACTTTTATTATCAAAGGATCGGAGAATGTTCGATCAAGAATTAGCACGTGTGGAATGCCATGACCTAATATGTGTTCAGTAAAGGAGGTCTTTAAATTCATGTTTCTCCGATAATTAGCGCGCAGACACAAATATATGCTTGTAAAATAATAAATATATAAAAATAATAATATATATCCTTTTCACAAAATAACATGAAACGGAAAAAAATGCTCGGAAATAATGAATTAAGACATTAGATTGAAACGTGCCTTTTGTAATTTGTATCAAGTTTAATCAAATTTTAAACAAATCATGGTGCTGCTATCCGAGATTTGAAAATCCAAAGTTGAGAAGAAAAAAGAAAAAAATAGAACATGGACGCACGTCGATTATCGACGAAAAATTCTTACTAAAAGATTGAGATTCTGTCATTTTATAATCTCTTATCCCGCAGGAAGCGGAAACAGTCCGAAATAAAGCGTTAAACGCATCGCTCTTAATGGATTGATCGTAAAACCGATTTTAGCATTATCCCCAACTTGTTATAACTTATAAGCGACGCGCGACGTACCCTGCATAAATCCTACGTGGGGATGATTCTGAAAATAATGATGACAATATTTTTCCAGTTCCCCCGGAGCGTGAAGTGATCAACAAGGAACGCCTGTCAGGATCCTATCGGCTCTCGGCCTACTACCTGGCGAAGATGGTGGGCGAGCTGCCGCTGACGATAACGCTGCCCGCAGTCTACCATATAATTAGTTACCCGATGTTGGGCTTCCATAATATAGCAGTCTTCATCACGCTGCTCGCGTTCTTGCTACTCAACACTGTAGTCGCACAGGTATATCAATTTCCTGTTCGATCGTATCTAATATTAGATAAATATCGGATAAATGATTCTTTTATGTCATTTAGAAACAAAAATTTCGATTCAGAATGGAATTTAATAGAATTTGGATTGATTTATGCATCTAAATATTCCATTCAGTTACATTGAAACGTTGAACTGGATCGAAATTTGTGAATAAACAATAACTTGTATATATCAAAGCGTAATGGGAAATTTGATAATTATCTATATGCAAGATAATTATATACACAAGGATTGATAAGTATCGGAATGTTTACTTTTGTATACACGTATTAACAGAGATAGAAAGAATATTGATATCGATTTGGACAATGTTCAGATATTGGATTGAAATTCGCAAAAGCATATCGACCACTTCTCTAATAATTGTGTAATTAACCTTCAAGATGTAATCTAATTTTTATCATAACATTGATCTATCAGATAATTCTTTCAATTATCGCTCATAGAAAAGCAATAAAAAATTTGATTTTAGCCCTTAATTTTCTGATAATGTAATGTGATAATATTTGTTAAAGTGAGGGAAAAAAATTCTGAATATCAAATCAGTACATTAAGTACATAATTATAGTCAATAAAAATCAAGATTTTAATCAAAAACTTTAAATCAAAATTTTCGCACATATTTATTTTAAAATAATGTAAAATAATGTAAAATAATGTAAAATAGTCTAACATGAGCATTTTATTGAAATATATGATACTTGTTTTAAAACACGTTATATCAGAGAGAAGAAGGAAAGTAATGATAATAGTTCTATCTTATTGCTACTTTTACGAAAAAAAAGATATAAAACTGTGTACAAATTGAATAAAAAAATGTAGCCATTTGTTGCTCTCAAAAAGTTATTGTAGTAATTAGAAACCAAAAGAAAAGAAAGAAATCAAAAGAAACTACTTATCACATTTATACTCAACACATTTAATACAGCACCTAAATATCAAAACTTACATAAGAAGAAGGATTCTGATTTGAAAGCGTGATATTTATTCCTCACACAATATAAATTTCCAATAGTCGTTTATATTGAAAGTAATATACGTAATCGATAATCGCAGCTGTGTTTTATTACTATTTTTACATTATTGGAAAGTGCTAAATATATATAGGCGCTTTCAAGCGCTTTCGGCTTATCTCGAGCCGAGATTGGGAATTTGCACCAAAATACACGAGAGTATATAACACGCCATTCTTGAAAGGTATCGACCAGGTGGAGAGTGATGGCCGGTTATTCAATCGTTCGACATAAGTCGGTTTTATTGCGTCCAGCTCCTCAATTTTATGATGCTTTGCAGAGTGTCGGATTTTTTGTGGGCGCTTGCTGCGAAGATCTGCAAGTGGGCATCACCGTGTCTGCGCTCTACACACTCTCAACGCAGCTTTTAGGCGGTTATTTGGCGACGTCGGTCCCACCATGGCTAGCGTGGGCTAGGTACATCAGTATGATGCATTATGCCTATCAAAATATGCAGATTCTGGAATTCGGTGTCGGCGAACCGATAGCGTAAGATTATATTTTTTATTTATATATTGTTACATCTTTATCTGTCTTTTCATGTTGTGATTGCAATAAAAATTTTATTTCATGGAAATGAATAATAGTTACTAAAAAATTGATAATATATTTTTTTTTTAACAAAAGATCAGAATAGAAATAGATCAGACGTAAATGACTGTAAAATTTAGTGAATTTCGAAAATGATAATTGGATTTTACGGTGATATGTAGAATTTGCAAGAAAAAATTATTGTTTTTTTTTTTCAAAGAAAAAGTAATTCAAGTAAAGGAAATATTCTTTTAAATATAATTCACGAAAAATAAATATGTAGATATGTGAAACAAAGTACGCAAAATTATACGTACGCAATTAAAGTTATATTCTTTGATTGCTTGATTAATGACAAATTATGAATTATTGAATTCTAATGGCGTAAAACATACGATGAAAAATCATCTCTTAAACAATGTTATACTGACAAGCGAATAATCTCTTCTCAACAGATGCTCGCAGCCGAGTAAATTCGCCGAGTGCAGAAACGGTACGACGATACCCGTTTCCGCGATTTTGGAAAGTCAAGGCGGGGTCAAGGGTTCTGGTCTACCATTGTGGGCAAACACGGCAGTACTATTGGCGTTCCTAATTGTTTTCCGGACCCTGGGTTACCTTGTCCTGCGTTATTACCGTGTACCAAAATGAGCGTGTTGGGAGACACGCAAGTAGCACACAAATTCTCGACACTCGCGGATTCTTCAGTTTTGTTACTACATAGAGTATTATAGCAACCGCCGTCGCTGTCGTTGCTGTCGTGTGTCTCGCCTCTTGTTAGGAAATAAAAAACGGTCGCACGCTTCGATGTCATCCCCCGGGAGAATTTTCTCCCGTCGTGAGCTGTCGAACGTCTGTAAAGTTTTTCTATCTAGCTTGAAAACACGAGGGAGCGACGCGAATGGTTATCACGCGAGTGCGAGCGTTTTCACTTTTCCCGACGTATCGAGCAATGCGACATGAAACACGAGACTGCAACAGACTTGGCGAGAACTCTATATATACATGTGTATATATATATGTGTATATATATATATATATATATATATATATAGATAATAACATCTAGTAAATGTTGAGAAACTTTACACACATAATAAGAAGCGCGTGTGTATTCCGAAAGAGAGATGTGCCAGCGCGTGTTCATAAACGTCGATAGCGTGAACGAACACGGGACATCGTTGTTTTCTCGTTGTTTGCGGCAAGAAGGGTATAATAGTAGAAAAATTTGACGCGGTGTCGCCGAAACAGACTGAAAATTTGTACGATGGCGATGAACCTTTATACATACATAGAGAGATATATACATATATATTAACATACATATGCGCATACATGCGGACGATAGGTTTAGATCCTTAAACATACTTTATAAAGTAAGCGATCCATCACGTTTTATCTCTTTTTTTTACTTTTATTACCGCCACAATTGCTACGTTAATGTTGTTGATATCGGTAGGAGTATTGCTACTGTTTCTATCATTACTTATTACCTTTTTACTATCGAGACGCTGTAATTAAGAGATAGATGAAAGATTATGCTGCTAATTCTAAAGTTGACAGGGAGGAAATAAATATATTTATCGTGTTATCGGTGGAACAATATATATATCGATATATATCGATATATTGTTCCACCGATGAGATACTATTAAACATTGATTTTGAGTAAATTTTCGTGACTGTCAATAGAGATCACGATTGCCACCTTTTCGATTTTCGGCTGGAGATTCCAGCTTTTTAGGCAAATCTCTGGTTCTTTAACAAATGAAAAAAATCTCTGACTGATGTATTTTGACCTTCTTTGATGACCTTTTTTTTTATAAAGATATAGTGCAGAAATGATGATAAGTGGGTCTTATAATATACACAAATGGGAGAATGGAAATCAATTGGATTTTCCTTCAATTTTAAAATCTAGTAATAATTGAAGGTATATAATATCTAGGTATAATTTTGATGATCTTTTTTTTTTTTAAAGAAAGCAATATTATATCCAATATTTCCACTAAGTCTCCTTTTTCTTTTTAAAAATCAATTTCCGATCGTGATAGAGATCCGAATCCGGAAGTGATAAAATAATTTCGACACTATAAATTGTATCGATATAAATTTTTTGATTATCAATCGTCGATTTAAATATTTGAACAATTAGCTTATAATACAGTATTAAATTTGTAATTTATTATTATACAGATGTTTCATAAATAATTCCTATCTGCGACGCAGTAACATTAAATACGTAGCCGAGAAATTGCAATTTTTTTCATAATTGTCACTTGTATCATATGTATGAGTGGTAATAATGGAAATAATAAATAATAGATAGTAAATTCAATTTTAAATAAAAATTGAATATTGAGTCGTAGATGTATATATACACATTTTTATGTGAAACGTCAAGATAATAATAATATGTAAAAATTAATAATGCATTATAAATTAATCTAAATTTTGACAATTTTGCTAATTTTCAAAAGATTGTTTTTAATCCTTTCGACATGAAGGATAACTGTAGTTACCCGCTGTGAAACACTTACTGGACTAAGTCGAAGAATACGTAAAATCATTCTTATATTCTTAAAAATATATGATTCTTCGAAATTCTTGAAATTCTTCGGCATATATTTAATAGCTATGTGCTATTAAATCCTTTATTACGCTCGACTAGTGAGAATTATTTTCGACTGAATTCTACTATACTGAAAGGATTGATAGTATCTTGTTCGTAATGATACGCGATGAATACACAATGTGATTCGTATGATGCAACAAAAGGCTTGCACGCCACGATTTAAGACGAACGTGGCAGTGATGAAGTACTTTTTATGTCGATTGTAGAATTTGTTGGTTTCTCCGATATATCTCCATGATATTACTCGTTATGAGAATGGGGATCCAAAATTAATGAGCGGTGTAATATTTCATTGTTTACTCTTTTGTACATAGAGAATGTATGTATGTGTGCAGTATTGCGTGTGTTGTATAATATGTGAGAGAGAGGAAGCGAGAGAGATACTGCTAATGTATATATGGATGAAATACTTCATTCTTATATATATAAATATTCGTAGGCACGCTTATATATGCGTATACATAATGATAATGGTAGTAATAATAACGACGCTAAGTATTATTATTCCAATTATTATTACTATTATTATCACATAATGATTACTCTAATTATTTTAATTTTTATTATTGCTCTTATTATATTATTATTATTATTATTATTATTATTATTTCCGCATGTACATTTTTAACGGACTGAATGAGACGCGTTGTATTTTTTGTACATGCACGCGAAAAGGATATATTACGCTCGCATTAAGATTATATAATTCGCGTGAATCCATTTCGTTAACACTGATATTGTAGTGTGTTGTTATACTCCTTTCCTCTCCCGAGTTACACAGTCACGGAAAGCCAGTGTTTGTTATAAATAAGATACATTAGATTAATAGATTATTGCAGTTATATACATGCGAAGGACATGTATCCATCTGCGATTGTAACGCATGTCAGCCAATCAGCGAGTAATAATATTGTAAGGATAGTGAACTGGACGACTCCCAGTGACCAAGTAGGATCGCCGCACGTATGGTGAATCTCTAATTTTAAAGAAGTTAAAGAGACGAATATGATCGATGCATATCTCCACGCACGTATAAACGCGCGTTGTCTACAATCTCATTGCTGTTACGATCGATATCTTGCTTTCGCTTTTATTAGCCGGTATCGCCGATCTCTTTACGATAACGATAAATTAAAGTTAATCAGGAATGAACGTTTGGAATTCGCCGCATTCGCCAAAGGACCTCAATTCCGCGAGTCGCGATCACGGAGTATCGTCCAGTACACCAATAAACGCAATATCCACCAAGTGTTCATTGAGTTTGTTAAACGAGGCGAGAAGAAGGCAGAGCGGGAAGAGAGGATTCGTATAGGATGAGGATCATTGCTTCCTAATTATGTGAGGCTGCAAGAGGAATGCAAGAAACTAAGAAGAAAAAGAAAAAAACCGCAAGCGCACCGTCACCATGTGAAATGAACCGAGCTAGTTTAAGACATCGTCGGATTTTATGTAAAGCATGATTCAGAGCAGCTGTATATATTAGATGTATGCATTAGAAAATTGGCCGTAAATTTAAAAAATTATGAGGAAAATATAAATGACTCAATAGAAAATGTTTTTCATTGATCTATAGATCAAATTTTTTTCTTTAATTAGTTTTTGCGATCAAAGATAATTTTGCGATTCAAGATAATTCAATCGCTTGGATCCGAAGATCAGGCGGGACTAATTGCAGCGATCACGATAATCTTAAACTGGCTCTGGCAACCATGTCACGTATCCGAGAGGAACAGCATGATGAAGCGAATGTATAAACAAAGATTTGGCTGTGTCAATGTAATAACGTCTGTTGATTTCTCTGTCGTTTCTTTTTTTATATTTTTAACGTCCGAATCGAAACCTCTCGATGAAAATAAGGAAAGTGAAAGGAAGAGTGAGAGTAAAATCCATGATAGAGTGAGATGTGCCGCGAATGAATTAAGAAAGAAAAATAAAGTGCGAAAGAGATAAAATAAAAGAGCGAAAGAGTATGCGGAAAAACGCTCATATGTTTATCGCACATTTAACGTTGAATGATGACTAAATCTCTAAGGATTAAGATAACAAGCTCGTTCTATATAAATAAAAATGTAACCGCATTTCACGTTAAATTTGTGATGAGATGAGTTTATTGAAAAAAAAAGGCTGTTTCGGAGCCGTACGTCGTTCACTGATCGAGCGAAGGGTAGATGACACGCCTACAGCTCTACACATTTTCTATTATCACGAATCAAGGTAACTTATTTTCTTTTTATTCTCGAATATAAAAACTGTGAACAAATGCGAACAAAATCGAGCGAACGCAATATAACGAATATAACTGCTTTTTTAGATGGTTGTAACCATCTCAAATATTTCCCATAAGGATGCAGATGTGTATCGAAGATGCAAAAAAGTCTCTTTCCTTTACCACCTTCGACGCTATTCTACCATATGCAGAAAACGCACTTTTTGATCATGTAGACGTCTTTTCAAAATTTTGATATCCATATATATACAATTACTATACAATGTACACCACTGACTGTTAATAACCCGTACGACTGGATATTTGTATGCGTTTACAACTTTAGCAGCGAGCTCGGACAGTGTGATCAATTACTCACACTCGGAATCGTAAATTGCACAACTCATATTTTCTGCTGGATATCGCAGTTGAACGAAACGCTTGGTCCCGTTAATACTACGACTACGATCGGGACGACCGTATTTAAACCGACAGAAATTAACATACGCACATTGGTGCACCATCATTTTTTCATGCGGACCAGAATAGATAATTGCAAGACAACCTAATGGTCAACTTCGATAATATAGCTGTTCAGAAAAGTGTACACCAATAGCGACAATTAGATTAGGAAGTAAAACTGTTCTTGCATAATGAAAATTTGATTGGTATAAGTTGACGTATATAATTATTATTATTAATTAGAGTTTGACATAGAATTAAGACATTTTATTGAAATTGATTTGCAAATCATTCAAATATTTATTATATTCAAATATTTGAATTTTATAAACTAAACTTATTCAATAAAGGTGACATTTAAAAAAAATTTAGTTAAGCTGAAATGCGTTTTAGATTATTTAAGAATAAAATGAAAATTCAATATAAATTATATGAAGAAGTTGCTACTGTTATACATTCTTTTAGAACATCTGTATACTCGTTTAGATAATGAAATATTATGAGAGTAAAAAGCACGAAAAGCACTTTCGATTATTCGCCAGATTGGTGAATTTGAATATTACGATAGTTATATAATGTGTATGAAACTGATCGTGATTTATAGTAAAACAACTATTTTTTTCCGCGAAACTTTCTCATTTTATAATCATGCGATCGTTCTCACCTTAACATGACATCCACGCA